CAACTCAACTTTTGATCTAATTTTTATTTTAATATTAAATTAATAATGTTTTAAATAATAGTAAATTTAATTAAATTATAACCTAACATAAATGAATTATAGATAAAAGAAAGATATAAATTATGATGTTTAAACATTCAAGAAATACACAGTAACATCTCATATACAACCAGAAACATAGGTATAAACCTAAACATTTTTCTCTAATTGAGATTAATCTTGCAACCTGCCTCTTGCTGAACGGTATAGGGGCTAATTTGTGTTTATTTTACATAACTTGCAGAACGCAAGATCTATCATTAGTTATGCCACAGTAACAAACATAGGTATAAAAAAAAAACATTTTTCTCTAATTGAAATAGATTAATCTTGCAACCTGCCTTGCCACAGTAACAAAAACATAGGTATAAACAAAAAAACATTTTTCTCTAATTGAAATAGATTAATCTTGCAACCTGCCTCTTGCTGAACGTGCTCTTCTTGCACCCCACTCAACCAATGCCACTGATTGATGCTGTGGTCTTGCTGAACGTGCTCTTCTTGCACCCCACTCAACCAATGCCTCTGATTGATGCTGTGGTGATTGATGCTGTGGTCTTGCTGAACGACGTCTTCTTGCACCCCATGCTAATTCTTGCAAGTTATCAGGGACTCCTGGAGGTCCATGGACGGCAATATTGAGTAGTGTTGCTGCTGCTTGCATTTCGAGCAATGTTGCTGCTGCTTCGATGTCTGAATCATCCATCATCTTTGTTTCTTGAGCTCCTCCAAAGTGGGTATTTATTTGTTTCTTTGGCTAAAGTGGATATTCTTGAGCTCAGACCAAAGTGGGTATTCATTTCTTTGACGTCCATAGAGTTTGGTATTTTCTTGATATTACTTTGACGTCCACGGAGCGGGCATTTATTGAGGGGCGAGTCAAGGGCATTTATTGAGGGGCGAGTCAAATGAAATCCCCATGATTAAAATTCGTGATTGGAGAGAAATTGAAGCCAATAAATTTTTTCTTCAACATGGGGCGGACTCCGTCCATAAAAAAGGGAATGCAACTCAAGCTGACTAAGTATCAGCCGTTTGGGCCAGGTGGGAACTTTTTTATTGGAGAGAAGTTAGAAAAATAAATTGACTTTTGGGGAATTTTTTTTTTATTGGATTTTTTGATTGGAGAGAAAATACCCCTCTGGGCCCTCCCTTTGGGCTAGTTTTAGGTGGTTAGGGGGGCTCTCTAACATCATCACTTTCCCCAAAAATTTCCTGCCAATTTCATCGCCTGTCAATTTCTTTTTTTTTTTATCAATTTCATATTTAGTCCAATACATGCAATTACGCCGGGGTTAAATCTTCACATGTAAAATGTTGTTCAAAGAACTAATTAATCATATAAAAATAGTGCTTATCAACCTTAGGTTAGAAAAAAAATCATCCCAAAATTATATTATTTCAAATAAATTTTTATTAAAAAAACCTATACTATTCAATTTTTAAAACATGCATTAAGATAAAATTTTTTTTTTAATTTTTTAAAAATAAGACAGATAAACATTAATCCTTAATCATATTAATGTTCTATAATTTTTTATATTCTATGAAAATAATAATTAAATTTTATTTTATTCATATAAATCATTCATTTTAAATTTAAAATAATTTTAATATAAATAACCATTCAAAAAATACTATATTTTTATACTATTTAGAGATTTATTAACCATTTATAACTGCATTCGAATGTCACTTTTCCCGGCCATGACCAAGTACGGTTTCTTTCCAACTAAGAACCCAAATCATGGCATAACAGAATTCTCAATTTAGAAATTTGCTCAGAACCAAGAAAAATTGGAACTTCCAGGGACAAAGTCACAAATAATGGTGAACTTTATACAGTGAGGTCCCCCGAAATCTAATTTCCGGCCAACCAAACGGACTCTTAGTCTCCTTCAATTTGCAGACTCAATTACATCCAAGACTGCCTGGAGTAATTCCAGCTCACCATACCATTGTTTTTAGCCATCCCGCCTCACCAAACAAAGGATGAGTATTCCAACTTTATACACTTGGTATTTTTGATATACTACTTTTAGAAAATTAATAATGGCCATTTACAAACTTAGAAAATAATAAAACACAACAAAACAAAAAAAGGGAGACCTAAAATTACAAAATTTCACATTTATTTCTAGAGCTCCACACATCAAGCAAAAATCATCTCCATTAAGGCAATGGCTCAACAGAATCTGTGAAAATGGCCCACTGTAATCCGTCTATAGGTCTTTAGAAAATGGCTCACAAGTCACAAACCATCATTGACGATCCTGTGGGAGCAAGTAAGCAGTTTAACAAATTCAGAAATGAAGGAGATAAAGTTCGAAATTACATGCAATTAAACCTAAAGGTGACAGTCTAGTTAGCATAGTTATCAATACCGGCAGCATGCTAGCATAGGCAATTGTGAAATATGTGAAAGGCTTATACAGTGCATCCACAGATCCAGCAGATATTACATAAGAGCTTCATGTAGAAATGTAAAACAGCTTATATGTTGCACCCTAAGGCTAATAAAAGTTAACCCAGGATTATAACATGAACAGATATGCATCAGAAAAATCACAAGCCCTGACACAGACATTGTTAAAGTGTTGCCTTATCTAGAGCATTCTATTCATTCAATCAATATCTTAAATTCCTGCATTCAATATGTCCTTTACTTGTGATATGAGATGAACTAAAACTAAACACCAACCTGCCTTAACCTTCATTATAACAAACTAACCCTCTGGCCCTTCCAAGATAATTTGCTAGACCACCCCTCCCATATTAAACAACCATCTGCTATTTGCTGAATACAGGAAAGTGAATACCGTGTTAAAACAGAAAATTGAATAGCAATGAAAGACATAGACATAGCATGATCAAAGTGGCTCTAAAGATTCAAATTTACTAAGATAAGCTGGCACAAGAATTTCATGATTTTACAATACCAAACATTTAAGAATTCAAAAGTTGAAAAAGATTCTAAGATAAGTTGACGAAAAAGAGGGATACTTCTAAAATAGAAGGACAATCATTCCAACATTTAAGAATTAAAAAGTTATGGAAAAACCATTCAACATACATCAAATATGGGCAAGAACTCACAGCCACATTCCAATTGGTTCAATCAAGAGTGAAATACTATTCCATCCCCATTTACCTTTCAGGAAACTAATCAGTTAAGCCTTAACATGCACTAGGCACACCTAGACACTTAAAGGGTCTTGTAGGCAAGAGCCAATGCACAAGGGCAAAGCACAGGCACACACTAATATAAGGCACGAAAGGTGCAAGGGGACTGCGCCTTTCCATTTGAGGCACACCTGATGGCCTCAGAATGCTGTAGACATAATATGCAATGATTAATATTCTAGAAATAGAAATAAAGTTCATACAATGAACATAACTCACAGAAAATAACTTTACTCCCTCTTAAATCAAGAAATAACCACTTTTCTTGAACTAAGCCAAGGCAGCAAGGCGAATACATATAATCAAAGCAATTTCTAATGGCATACTATAGAATAAGAGAGCTAAATTATATTACTTTCGGTAGTGAATTAAAAAGAGATCTTCATATTCCAGAGGAAAAAGGAAACAAATATAACCTCACAAAATATCATCTACCCACTCCAAGAAATGTTAAGGGTTTTGTCCAGGGCATCTTGCTGCAACTAAGCAGACTAAGTGACGTCTTGCCCCAATATTAAAACCCTTTGGCTGAGTGGTTGTTGTAGCGTAACTATAAGTGTTGAATCCACAGGAAGTTATATTAAATCAACAAAAAGAGTTCTCACAATGAAAATTAAATTTGTTTTACACTGACCAGGGGTTGGAACCTGATCACAGGGTGTGGAATCCCTCATTGTACTGTCCATCCTTTTGCATTGACCAGGGGTTGGAACCTGAAAACAGGTTCCAACTCCTCATTAACACTTCAACTTCATGAAATTTGCTCCTTAATAAAAAAATGGAGAAAATCCCACTTGAGCCTTCAAACTTCTAAATTTGATCATTGGACCCTCATCTTTCTGGCTCTTTGCATTATCTCCATTTAATTATCAAACCTTCAATCATAAAAAATTTGAACATAAATAAAATGAACACTTATGAAATTACTTGTAAAAAGGCACAACTCCTAAGCCCATAATTCTACAAATGCTAATGGTTAAACACAATTTAAATATACATTTTCATGCTTTCATCACAACCCCCAACCAGCTTATTGCTAGTCTCTAGCAATTCAAGCGTGAATTAAAAAAAAAAGGCATGTTGATTAACTCAAATGGATATCTAACAAGCCTACCTAGGCATTTGGAAAAAGATCACAGTTGCTATCAAGATTACTTCAATTATAACTTCCAAAAGTGTGTGTGAACTAAGCATAACCTTCACACCACAAACCACAACATATATAGCCTTGAGAATTAATCAAAGTAAAAGCCTCAACTCCATATCCTCACGCGATAGTAACCGTTTAAGGCAAAGGATTTCTCTCATGGAGTTGGAAAGCAGCAAGTCACTCAAAGGAAAAGGTCAAATTTAACAGACAATCAAACTAACAAACATTGATTAGAAGATAGGTTAATTAGCTATTCAAAATTCCACTACTCTTACTATAAACTAGCTTCAGGATTTCAATCAATCAAATATGAGAGCAATAAAAGTAGAGCCTAGTGAGAAAGACTGTTCCTTCAGAGGGAAAGAAAGTTTGTCCTCTAAACTGATGGAAGACTTTATTTTGTAGATTTTCTTTTCTTTTCTTTTTTTTCCTTTTCTGTGTTTTTTTTTTTTTTTTAAAAAAAAAACTGTTTTTGTCTTCTTCTTTTTTGGATATTCTGCAACAAAGTGGGGAAAGTATAGAATTTCTCACATAATTAATATCACATGAACTATTCCGAAG